CATGAATATTATTTTGAATAACTATTTGGGGGCTTGCATGCCCATGTTTGCCAAAGTGTGGCTAAGACACTTTTATTAAATGCTTCCGCTGTTTTAAATGAATGTTTTACATTATGTTTGTTTATGGATGTACTATGTGTGAATGATATTCATGACGCCTTGTATAGTATGGATGAGTTGGACTGCGGTTGACTATTCGTACTGTACGGTGGGTTGTTGACGTGTCCGGCTAGGTCCGGGGCGTGAAAGGAAAAGTATTCAAAATTTTGTCCTAGGCCTCTCTGTAAGATCTGTAACCTAAAACATGGGTTTACGGGCTGTTTAAATAGAAAACAGATCAATCCGGGCCGAAATAGGACTCCAAGTTGAGCGCTCGGCGTGCGGGAAAAGTGTGCTTGGCGAGCGCACCACCGAATTTTAAATTTTTCGCTAAGCTCCTCCGCTCGGCATGCACCTGTCATGCGCTCGGCGTGCGCCTGTCATGCGCTCTCTTTAGCGACTCCCAATTCATCCTGCTCGACGGTCGGTTAACTGAAAACCGAAATCTAGTGTACTCCGTATAAACGTTTGTATGTATTTCGTGTATGCTATGATGTTTCACTTAATACAACAACAACAACAACATTCAAGCCTTAATCCCAAAAGAATTCGGGGTCAGCTAACATGAATCGATCTATGATATCGATGTCAAACAGAGAAGACGGACAATAAGGGAAAAAAGTAAGATAAACGGATAAAATAAAGATAAATAAATATAAGATAACAATAACATAAGAATATAAGAAAGATAAAAGATAGAAAGATAAAAAATAGAAAGATAAAAGAACATAAAAAAGCTAGAAGATAAAAATAATATTAGAATATAAAAAAGATAAAGAAGATAAACGATAAAAGAGAAGAGGAGGGAAAGGTAGAAAAGACATCAATCGTCCACACGGATGTGCGCCCTCCACTGCCACCGGTGTGCTCTCTCCAAAGCTCTACTCTCATCCAACCCAAGAAGACGCATATTAGTTCTGATTCCTCTAATCCAAGTCTGTTTGAGTCTTTCCCTCCCTTTCTTCTCTGCCTCTTCTCCCCACCCCTTAAGTCGTCTAACAGGTGCATCACTCGGTCTTCTACGCAAATGCTCAAACCACCGCAAACGAGACTCCTGCGTCTTATCTTCTATAGGTGCTACTCCCACGCTTTGTCTGATTATCTCATTCCTCAAGCAGTCTTTTGTGGTATGTCCACACATCCAACGCAACATACGCATCTCTGCCACACTCATGTTTTGAATGTGGCATTGCTTCACCGCCCAACACTATACGCCATACATTAATGCAAGCCAAATTGTTGTTCGATAAAATTTAACTTTCAATCTAGTCAGCATACCTCGATCTCATAGAAATCATGATGCACTCTTCCATTTCATCCACCCAATCGTCCACACGGATGTGCGCCCTCCACTGCCACCGGTGTGCTCTCTCCAAAGCTCTACTCTCATCCAACCCAAGAAGACGCATATTAGTTCTGATTCCTCTAATCCAAGTCTTTTTGAGTCTTTCCCTCCCTTTCTTCTCTGCCTCTTCTCCCCACCCCTTAAGTCGTCTAACAGGTGCATCACTCGGTCTTCTACGCAAATGCTCAAACCACCGCAAACGAGACTCCTGCGTCTTATCTTCTATAGGTGCTACTCCCACGCTTTGTCTGATTATCTCATTCCTCAAGCAGTCTTTTGTGGTATGTCCACACATCCAACGCAACATACGCATCTCTGTCACACTCATGTTTTGAATGTGGCATTGCTTCACCGCCCAACACCCTACGCCATACATTAATGCAAGCCAAATTGTTGTTCGATAAAATTTAACTTTCAATCTAGTCAGCATACCTCGATCTCATAGAAATCATGATGCACTCTTCCATTTCATCCACCCAGCTTTGATTCTATGGCATACATCTACATCTCATTCACCATCCTTTTGAATTATGGAGCCCGAGTAACGGAACATATTACACACCAATATCTCCTTACCATCAGGAGTAATCCCACTATTGCTACTACTTCTACCTCCACCAAACTTGCACTCCATATACTCAGTCTGAAACCTTTGGTCTCCAATGTTTGTCGACATACTTCCAACTTTGCTTTAACACCCGATTGTGTCTCATCAATCAATACAATATCGTCGGCAAACATCATGCACCACGGTATATCTTCTTGAATTGACTTCGTAAGTTCATAGATAACTATAGCAAATAAGAAAGGACTCAGAGTTGATCCTTGGTGCACTCCGATAGTAACAGGGAACTATGTGGTCCTCCCTACGTACACTAGTACGGACACTCGTAGTACAAGCCGCATATATATCCATGATGATACTGATATACATATGTGATATGCCTTTTCTAGTTAAGGCCCACCAAAAGACTTCTTGAGGTACCCAATCATATGCCTTTTCTAAATCAATGAACACCAAATGCAGATCCTTTTTAGTATATCTATACTTTTCCACAACTTGTCTAAGAAGGTGAATGACCTCAGCTTTTGAGCGTTCATGCATAAAACCAAACTGATTCTCCAAAATTTTCACACTTTTTCGAAGTCTTTGCTCAGCCATTCGCTCCCAAAGTTTCATGGTCTAACTCATAAGCTTAATCACTTGATAGTTGGCACATTCTTGTACATCACCCTTATTTTTAAATAGGGGGATGACAGTACTCTTCCGCCAACTCATTGGCATTTTGTTGTTTCTCCAAATCATGTTGAAGAAACATGTTAGCCACTCAATGACTTTCTCTCCCAAACTTCTCCAAGCCTCGATCGGTATGCCATCTGGGCCCACTGTTTTCTTCCGCCCATCTTTCTCATAGCCACTTTAACTTCTGTTATTTGGATCCTTCTCACGAAGTCCCGATTTACCATACACTCTAGTATAGTAAGATCATCAATATCTTGCATTTTATTCCCGTTGACCAAGGTATCAAAGTATGACCTCCACCTCTCCTTTATTTCCTCGTCCTCCATTAGTACCCTTTGATCAACATCCTTCACACACTTAACTTTGTCGATATCTTGAGTCCTACAGTCACGAAGACAAGCAAGTAAATAATATCTTTTTCTCCTTCCTTAGAGCCCAATTTTGCACAGAATTCCTTGTTCACTTTTCCTCTTGCTTCCTTTACGGCTTTCTTTGCTCTTCTTCTAGCCTCCTTGTACTCCTCTATGATCTCGTCACTCCAACTCTTTCCCAATTTCTTATAGCATTTCCTTTTGGTCTTTATTGTTTGTTTCACATCATCATTCCACCAAGACGTGTCCTTTTTTGTGGTAGACATCTTTTAGATTCTCTAAGTATCGCTTTCACCATTTTGTTAATGGTGGACTCCCTTGATAACCACACTTCAGCTACATGTGCGTCATTATCAATGAACCATACATCATCTTCCAACATTTTCTGTGCAAAAGTTTGTTGGAGATTCCCCTCGAGCCTCCACCACTTTATCTTTGGCTCCCCTTGTACCTTAACATGTCTTCTTCTTTTATCTTGAAAATCAAGCACAAGCATCCTATGTTGAGTGACAGCGCTCTCACCTGGGATAACCTTACAATCAATGTAGCTAGTTCTCCAAGTCGTCCGTACTAAAAAGTAGTCACTTTGGGTACTATTCGCTCCACTTCTATAGGTCACAAGGTGAGAGTCTCTTTTCTTGAACCAAAGCCTTATATAGTGTTTAATTATTTTATATCTTTCTGGTGTGAGGCAAATGCTTTAACAACTCTGACTCTATACAGTGGTCGTGTTTCTCTATTTTAAGTTTTGTTTTTGTTTGGTCGATTTCAAGTAAAAATTGGTCCACTTGTTTTGTGCTTTGATTCGTATGTTGTGCTTCGTTTTCTGGGTAAAGTGGTGCTGAGAAATTTGATTGTGGATTTGGTTTGTGTGAGAGTGGTTTTCTTGATTTGGTAGTTTTCTCTTCATTGTGGACATAATTGTCAAGAATAGTAATATGATCTCTATACCCGAGGAAGAGAATAAGGGTTTGGTGCTTGAAGCAGACCCCACGGGAAACACTGGCAAGTCTGTTGAAAGAGCACCCCTCTCGTCAAGAAAACACTGACAAAGCTCTCTTGGCGGAAAACAAGGATTCGTTATGCGTATTAGAGTTATCATTAATATTAATGTGGCTTTGGCAAGACGTTTGCAAGTACAGCAGGAAGGAGATAAATGGATATGGGCGGATTTTCGATATGAGAGACTCCCAAACTTCTGCTTTTTGTGTGGGATACTTGATCATGCGAACCGTTTCTAACCCTCTAACCCACAACAGTGTACCTTGGATCAGAGAGAAGCCTTATGGGTCATGGTTACGTGCTGATATGAGGCAGGGTGGGACGCATCCGGGAAACAGGTGGCTGATCCTAGTAATAACAGGCTAACTGATAAAAGGGATGATGGGGAGGGCTCGAGCAGCACTACAGTGGATTAGGGAAGCTATGTGGTCGAAGGTCTAATTTCAAAAGGCAAGGGAGTTGCTACACCACCGGAAGAACCACAGAAATACAAGGTCATTGAGCTGACTGTCGAAGATGGAATTCAAACAAATATGGATGTTGATGATGCGGATCCAAAAAACTTGCAGGTGGCGGTGCTGACTGGAGAGCACCACCAGTGATAGGGGACATATGTGATGAGAAAGTGGGTCCTTTAGCGGAGGATGGTCAAACCGCTAGCTCCTTACCAATGGCGGGAGAAATTGGATTTAGTCTTTCTATTTTTTGCTTGTCTATTCAGACTTTTCAATTATTTCTTATTTCCATTCCAGTAACAAGTGCAACATTGTTGTAAATGGAGTCTACCATTTTATGGGATTAACGAGTCAGACCGCTTTTAAGCGTGATTCCAACTCTGAGTCTCAAACCAGTGTAACCTTTAATATGACGACTTTGTATCTGGTTCTCATTAAGAATTGAGTTATCGGTTGTCAAAAAAAATGTGATCTGGTTGAGCAATCAAGTGGGCCGACCTACCATGCCAATTGTCATTGAGCTAGATCATGCATTGTTGCAGGATAATAGGGAATACATAAGAACCGAATTAAATACTCCATTTAATACCGTTTTTACTTAGACTGTTTTTAGTCCCAGACCATACTTAAACAGACCAGACCAGATAGACCAGATTTAAATAGACCAGACAAAGGCCAGACTTTTTGACAGATTTAACTATGTTTTTGTAATCATTATTGCCTTTGGCACATAAAGGCAGACTTTTCACTAAAACTCCGTTCTACTTTTCTGTTTTTGAATTTTATTCCGATTCAAACTCTGGTATCACAAACTCACAATCTGAAATGGATGAGAAAAGACAGATGCCAAAAAATTGAAATAAAATTTCAATAATGGGGATCTAAAAGAGTACAATAACAGTACAATTTAGTAGCCCATCATTATCTTGTACCCCTAAAATATTCACTTATAAACCTATATAGTGCATATTCTAGGAGTAAATTTATTATTGTTATATTTACTTAATCAGAAGCTCGTCTTACTCGACTGAAAACTCATACAGCATGGTGTGCTTGTACTCCCCCCCGGGTTGAACAACAACGGATGGGAAATTTGGTGTATTGATGGCATTCGGGAAACCTTGTGTCTCTAAACAAACGCCGGCGTGCTTATTATATACAGCTCCGCCTTTACCAACAATCCCATTAACATAGTTAGCAGTATAGAACTGCATGCCAGGTGCATTGGTCCACAGGTTAAGAACCCTTGAGCTCTTGGGATCTTTGATCTTTGCAGCATGTTTCAGCCAGCCCTCTTTCAACTCATCTCCATAGTCGAGCACGTAATTGTGGTCATATCCTAAACCAACCTGTTGGATGTCACGCCCAATCTTCTTTTCAGTTGTGAAGTCAAATGGGGTGCCTTTGACCGGTACTATTTCACCGGTTGGGATGGTGTTTTGATCAACAGGAGTGACATGATTTGCCCATAACTGAGCAGTGTGTTCAAGGATGTCACCAGAACTGTGGCCAGCCAAGTTCCAGTAGGTGTGTTGAGCCAAGCTGACAGGAGTAGGCTTGTTTTGGGGGACTGCTACCATGTCAAGCCTCAATGCTGTCTTAGAAGTGAGTGTGTAAGTAGCAGTGACTGAGAGATCTCCTGGGTAACCTACATATAATGGAATGATGAAATCATAAACCCTGAGGCATCTAACACTCAACATTAAGGCCACATTTGGTATGCAATGCTATGGACTTTATAGTAGTAGACGCAAAAGTTTAATGTAATGGAATGGGATGAAATCTCAATTCATTCACTCTGTTTGTTTGGTTATTCAAGTAATTCATACTCATCTTATTTGTATAGTTTCTAAAAAAGAAGATAAATAAATAATTCAAAGGTAGATGAAAATTATAATTAAATGAAAAGAAGAGAGGCATCTGCAGTTGAATTTCCATTTTACAGCGAAGACAGTCAAATGTGGTGGAGATGGAAGTTATAATTAAGGACTCCCATATATTTTTAGGTGTCAATTTGATTACATGTTTTGTAGTTGGCTAATGCATTTAGAATCCTAACCAAACATTGTAATCCAGCCCATAAGTAGTGCTCATTCAATTAAATGGTTGATTACGTCATATCAAATGCAGCTTTATATAGAGATTACCAAGAGCAAAATAGTAAATTACCTTCTTCACCATCATGGCTATGATATGCAAAGGTGATTGATGGATTTTCACCCTGCTTCTGGTCAGTGACCTCCCATATAACCTTGTCATACCCCTTGTGCCCACCTTCATCAACAAATATACATAAAAAATGTCAAGGCTCCTATTACTCAATAGAAACTACTTTCTATCAATTACTCCCCAAGCACTTTTGGAGCAAAACATGTGAAGATGATTATTGTATAAGTAAACCATGAAGCTCCTCAGCCTCAAGTCAAACCAATTACACTTAAGAACCACAAAGATAGCAAGCATAAGCAACACAGTATTGTAATAGTTATAGTATTAATGTGAAAACCTAGATGATCCGAGCATCTGAATTAAGCACAAAACTGGCTACAACCTTAAAAAGAAGAATTGTTCTGGAAATTTGAATTGCAGCAAAAGTCAACTCCAATACAAGTAGAGCACAACAATTCAAATGTCATTGAATAAAAAATGTGCGGATAAATAAATAACGCTCTCCCCAGTTCAAATAAAAATGGCAGAGCATTTCAGACTTTCCACATTTTAAGAAAACATAATAATCCACAGTATTCTTACAAACCCTCCATTGTGGCTGAAATTGTTCTTTAATCTTTGACCATGAGAAATCCCATCGCCAATTGTTTGCCATTCAGAAGATTAGTATTGTCAACATCCTAAATAACTCCTCTTAATGTTCTTTAACTAAGAATGACAATTTAAATACTACCACCTCCCCAAACAAAAACACAATTCATTCTCCAATTTTAAAGTCTTTTGTTCCAAGATATGAGGTCCAACACTTCATTCTACTAAGCGAATCATATAGGTAAAATCATAAGCGAATCATATTAAATCATAAGCGAATCATATAGGTAAAATCTTTAAGATTGCATAGAATTAGTACCATGAAGACTGTTAGGTGGCTTGTTAATAGCAATAGAGTATTCAACCCCATTAAGAGTAAACTTCCCATCTTTGATCCTATTGGCCACCCGGCCAACAATGCAGCCAAAATAGGGTGCAGCTCCTTTCTGAAAATGGGAAAAAAATCAAATAAAAGACCATATCAATGTGACGGTCAATCGACAAATCAAAACTCATTATCATAAAAACACAGATCAATAAAGTAACAATAGAATCAAATCAGATAGTTTCGTAAAAAAGGATGATCTTGAAACATCACTCACTGACTCACCGTGTAGGGTTCAAGAGTATCAAATCCAAGCACCACATCAACCAAATTCCCTTCACAGACCAGACCAAAAAGACAAAAATCAAGATTGTGTCTAACAAATTAGTCAATCAAAGAAGAAATCTGAAAAGTTTTTTCCTTTTAAATGCTACCATCTTTATCTGGTACAGACAAGGAAAGAATAGTGCACCCAAAGTTGGAGACTTTGACTTGCATGGTGCCATTGTTTAGTTCAAAGATCTTTGGTTCCGCCATTTCTAATCAGAAATTTTGAAAGGGGGTAATATTCTCTCCGCAGATGAAGAAGGCTGGGTAACAGTAGGGGATGGGGAGAGTCAATTGAAGTACTGAAAATAAAACTGATGGAGAAGGCATAGCACCGCCAGAGACGTAACGGGCCAGATCATCTCGAAAGATAAGGATAAGTGGACACCCAATGCTGACGCAATTCCGGTTTCCGGGTGACAATGATTGATTTCGAAACGGAAACTTTTTTTGGGAAAGGGGAACGAATGAACGATGAAACAAAAACTTTTACAGTAAATCATAAAGTAGAAAGTATTATATGCACCCCATTCCCGAGGGCCCCCAATCCCGATCGTACGGTACGTTTGGAGGATGTAAATTGGACTATAATCTCAATCTGATAGATAGAGAGTGAGGCTCTATCCCCGATACTTGCAAAGGCCATGTGCATTTTTAGCATAGTAACCCCTCATCGCAATTGCCGGGATTCGAATCCGAGATCTAACCATTGTGCCACTCTCTTGCTACCTGTTGAGCTACATCCACCGGTATAACGTAGAAAGTATACAACCTTCGAAAGTTGCTAAATTTGGATGGAAAATAAAATAAAAATGTGATTGAAATCCGTGCAAGTAATGATAAATGAAGAGAGAATTCCCTAAATAGAAGTAAAAAAGTTTTGAAATTCCAAAATATGAGTATCATGTTTTTTATTCCCTGAATAGAAGTAAATTTCTGCCATGTTTGACATTACTAGGCTTTAAAACATGACTTTTTTTCCAATCTTGGCAGATTACTCCTATTCAGAGAATAAAAAACAAGATACTCCTATTTTGGAATTTCAAAACGTTTTTTGTTCTATTTAGAGCATTTTCTAATAAATGAACAGTCATAAATTAATTATTTTAAAAAAAGTGACACAATTTTTTTAGACAAAAACGAAAGTTATCAACATGGCCAATGCACAGAGACTCAAAAATGTGAGGGCCCAAAAAAAATAGTACTCCCTCCGTCTCATATTAATCTCCTGAAGTACAAATGGCACACAGATTAAGATAATGGGAAATGTGTTGTGGAGAGTTGTGCAGAGGAAAGAGAAATGTGTAAGAATGTGTAAGAATGGTTGTGAACCACAAGTTCTTTGCTAAAAAGGGAAAGAGGAGATAAATTTGGGACAGACTGAAAAGGAAAGTATGAAGATAATTTAGGGACGGAAGGAGTACTACAGAGCTCCAGTCTCCAGGCGTCCAGCACCGCACCTCCTCCGGTCCCCAGTGCGCCGGTTCAGTAGCACTGCAGTCTGCGCAGTAGTCCGCACGCGGCACGCCAAGTCTGAAGTCTCCAATCTCCATTGCAGGTAAGTCCGTAAATTAATCTATTTCAACTGTTTTAATTGTTTTTCTTATATGTTTGATTATTATTAGAAATGTAGAATGGTAGATTACTTCCTCCTCCGTTCTTAAATAAATGCAACGGTCAACATTTCACACTTGCCGAGACACAACTTTGACCATTAACATAAATGATTTTGTATTGGTAAAAAAATTAAAAAAATTAGATTATGAAAATTTACAATGAGAAAAGTTTAACAATATTTTTTTCATAATATAATATTATTACATTAATAAATAAAACGTAGTCAAAGTAGAACATGTGAATAGTGTAAAAGTCAAAGTGTTGCATTTATTTAAGAACGGAGGTAGTATTTATTACGGAGTATTAATTATTTATGTCTTAGGTCTCCTAATCTATTATTCCCTATGAAATTTAACAAATTAGGTATTATTAAGCAGTGGCGGATCCAGGATACAAAGTTATTGGGGGCGGGGTAAACAAAAAATGCATCAAAAAAAATTAATAAAGTATTAATGTAATAGTGCAATAATTTTAACAAAATACATCACACTTGTTCGCGTCCAATTTTAATCTTTTGGAAAAGATTCATTACAATTTCATTTGTAACAGTTTCAAATTTTAATAAAAGTTTTAACAAAATACATCACAATTAACTTTTGTAATACATTAATACATTTTATTTAACTACCTAAAGTAACATATTATTTATATTTAGTGTTTCTAACATATTAAATGCCATTTTGTAATTTATAATTTCTAAGTGTAAAACATTACATTAATAGATGGGTAACTATTTCGGAAACACACCAATTGAATTTAATCTAATTGATCTTTCTAAAATATTAAATCCGATTCATTTAAATAAATAACCCTATAATAAATTTTTAACATTATTATCAGTTTAGTAATACTATTTAGGAAGTTTTTACTTGGATTGTTTTCAATCCCAGACCAGATCAGACCTGACTAAATAGACCAGACTTAAACAGACCAGACTGGACTTAAATATACCATACCAGACTTTACTTGCGTAGTTATAAAATAAACAAAGACCAGAAATTTACCAGACCAGATCATACTTAAACAGACTAGACCAGTAAATTGTAGTCCAAGTAAAAACATCCTTAATATTTATATTAGGGAAAAGGGACAAATAAGCTCACGTACTAATAAAAAAGGTCAAATAAGTCCTTATTTAGAAGGCCCTGTCCGACCGTCAAGATTTGGGACGGTTTCCGGTGGAATTTTTTGATGAAATTTTTTGAGCATCTTATTCATTGAGTCTAGTTTTCTCATACCAAATTTTATCTAACAATTCAATCGAGAAGACATTCAAATGAATTCTTGAAGATAACTGCGTTTTTAACTGCACAATTATCTTCAAGAATTCATGTGAATGTCTTCGCGATGGAAGTTTTAGCTGAAATTTGGTATGCATAAACTAGACTGAATGAATAAGATGCTAAAAAAAATTCATCAGATAATTCCTTTGGGAACCGCCCCAAATGAGGACAACCAGACAGAGCCTCCTAAATAAGGACTTATTTGACCTTTTTTTGTTAGGACGTGGACTTATTTGCCCATTTTCCCTTTATATTAAATACGGAAAGTAAACAATATATAAAGTCATAAATCAACTATACGGAGTACTAAACTAGCAAAGGGGCAACTACTTCTTTTTATTGGGAGCAATTCATTTTGTTTATTGGGGGCAACTACTTCTTTTTATTGGGGGCAATTACTTGGACCTTTAATTTTAATTAAAAACTTACAAAGGGTTAGTGGGATCTTATTGGGGGCAGCTGCCCCCCCTCATATGTGAGTAGATCCGCCCCTGTTATTAAGGTTGTTGTTTTTTATTTTGTGTAATTAATTCATCAATTAATTAATCTATTTATGTTTAATGATTTGGTATAAATGTATAAATATGTTATTTCTTATTACTTTTTAGGTGGTGGATTTAAAGTAATTAAGTCAAAATTAAATTACTTTTTAACTTGAATTTATAAACATGTACATGATTGTAGTAATTATGTTTCCAAAGAAATATCAACCTGGACATGAGAAGCGTCAAACGAAATGAAGAAATGATAACTTAACTTTGTCCCAAAAAGGAGTTCTTGAAAAATTCAGTATCAAAGAAGCTAGAGAGGCCACAGAAGGTGAACAAAAAGGATATCGATGTTGATAAAATTGTTGAAATAGCAGATCAGTGTGACAATGATCCAAGTTCTAAATCAGTTGATAATGACAATTTTGAGATTCCTGAAAATGAAGACATCATAACCGATATTCTTGATGATAAGCCAAATTTTTCTGCCTTGCTTGACATATATATATATATATCATCCAGAAATTGGGATTCTCTTGATTCAAAAATGATAGACATTTTGGTACGTGGAAAATGGTCCTAAAAGAGATTTAACTTTTGTCAAAGGGTCTAAGGATAAATTCTCTAGAAGATTCTCAACCGTGTTTTACACAAGGAATTTGCCCAATGGAGAGAAATATGATAGAGATTGGCTCGTTTATTCAAAAGAGCTTGATAGGGTGTTTTGCTTCTGTTGTAAGATGTTTAAAATAGGTGTGCGAAAAAGTTCTTTAGCCAATGCGGGTTTTGATGATTGGGGACATCTTAGTAGTAGACTAAAAGAACATGAAATAAGTGCAGAACATATGGGTAACATATGAGACAATTGATAAAGTAGCTCATGGTCAACTTCTAAAAGAAAAAGAATTTTGGAGGCAATTGTTGTTTCGGGTGATTTCAACGGTGAAATATCTGTCTAAACATTAACTTAGCCTTTCGTGGAACAAATGAGCGGCGCTCCATCAGAAAAATAATGGGAATTTCTTGGGATTGATTGAGATATTGGGTGAGTTTGATCTTTTTATTCAAGCGGTTATTCGGCGTGTTAACAATAAGGATACTCGTCAACATTATCTCACTCATAAGATTCAAAACGAATTGAGAGAGATGTTTGCTTCTAGAGTAAAAACTAGGATCATTACAAGAATCAAACAAGCTAAATATTTTTGTGATACTAGATTGAACTCCTGATGCTAGTCATCAAGAACAAATGACTTTGATATTAAGATGTGTTGATGTCTCCACATATCTGATTAAAATAGAAGAATTTTTCTTGGAATTCTTGATTGTGAATGATACGACACGCCTTGGTCTTTTTGAAGTGCTGCAAAGTGTGTTGAAGTCTCTTGATCTCGATATTGATAATGTTAGAGGACAAGGATATGACAACGGGTCAAATATGAGATATGCATATCAAGGTGTGCAAAAAAGACTCTTGGATGTAAATCCTAGAGCATTTTATACTCATTGTGGTAGTCATAGCCTTAATTTGACTGTGTGACATTGCCAATTGTTCTAGAAAAGCAAGGGATTTTTTGGAATAGTGCAACGAATTTACACACTCTTTGCTAATTCTACAAAAAGATGGCAAATTTTTAAAAACAATGCAAAGGGATTAACTCTTAAATCCTTGTCAAACACTCGTCGGGAAAGTCGTGTGGAAAATGTCAAAGCAATAATGTTTCAAATCAGTGATATTCGAGAAGCCTTGCTTGAATTGGCAGAGAGACAATGATTCTAAAATACAAAGTGAAGCTAAATCATTAGCTACATATGAATTGTGTAATTTTTAATTTTTGCTATCCACATTAATTTTGTATGAAATATTATATGTTGTGAATTTGGTTAGCAAAAGTTTGCAATGAAAAGATATGTTTCTTGATGTTGCTATTGTTGAAGTCAACGGGTTAATTTCTTTTTTTGAGAAGTACAGAGAAAGTGAGTTTTCGAGTGCTATGTATGCTGCTAAAGAAATAGCCAATGAATTGGAAGTTGAACCGGTGTTTTCTCATAAGCGTGTTATCCATAGAAAAAAACAATTTGATGAAAGTGTTGGAGAATCTTTT